CTGGCAAGAGGAAATGGGGAAGACCAAAGAGAAGATTCAGGAATGTAGAGGGGTCAGTGAGAGAAGAGAGGATGCAAGGGGATAGGGTGTTTGCACATGCAGTTTATATGGAGCTATAAACAATATTAACTAAGCTATAAAATATAATATACAAAATCTAAGTAATGGGTAATATAATCATAATCCTATATACTCAAAAGTGTTTAAACAACCTTCAATTCAATAACCTGTCCCATGTAAGCAGAGGATAAATCAGGACGATAAGAGGTAAAAAAAAACCAAAAACGTGGATTTTTTAATGCTGACACAACTGTTTCTTGGGATCCTTTTTTAGATGATGAGAAAAGACAATAAAATCTAGTCTCGTTTTCCATCTGCTGTTACTGTAAACACACATCTCTCGGGTCTGAGTCTCAACATAAAGCAGCCCCTCGTTCAATGGGATACCACTTGGGACTCTGGGACAACTGTTGTCATAGAGTTTCATTTGTTGTTAGAAACCAAAGTGCTTAACTCCCTGCCAGTTGGCCCATGAAAACCAATTTATGGTCCGTTTCACTGAAATCTGAAGGTTTAAGAAACCAGAAGAGCCGCATTCACAGTCTTAAGAAAGAGTGATGCTTTGGATGAAGTGCACCATGCATGGAATCAGTCAGCCCCACCCTGACATCCTCACGACATTTTTAAATTTTCACTGGCTCGATAAGACAAGGATGCATGCACATGTAGGGAAGAAAAAGCCTGTTTGTTTACAGACCGAGGAGTGATGATAGATTTTAGGAAAAACGTGGCTTATATCCCACCACAGAGGCAGCTGCAGTGCAGGCCCTTAATGCTACTATTTAAGCTGGACCACGTGACCACCAGATAAAGGCGGTCTATGTGGATACTGGTGTGTATCCAGGCAACTCCTTTATTCATTTCCTAGCAACCGTTAAATCTTGGGAGGGGGGCTGGGGGTTGGGCGTCGTTGGCCTACATGTCCCTCATATATGACTGGGCAGTTTGACCTCTTTTATCTGAAGAAGACTGGAAAACAAAGCCAAATGGCTGTTAATCTGCTCAATAAAACACCACATCTATCCTGTAGAAGGCAGTAAATTTTGAACAGTATGTAAAAATCTGTATGCATGAAAACATACAAAGGTCATATCAAAACTACTTGTAACAGTGATGGTTTGATAATAACTAAAGTTTTGTTGTTGCCAGCCAACGTGGATGGGTGTTTAAACTCCTCTTTAGGTTAACTGCAAATGCACATTTTATAATATAGCCTTAAGGAAAAGTAAGACACTGGAAGATCCATATATAAAGGCTTGAAATTCAGTCTGATGGTAACAAATTGGAGGGGCGATTTGAAGAAAGATTTGCTGATTGATTTTGTATTGGAAAATGTGAAATAAAATAAGATGTATTATGGATAAAACCTGATAAAATCAATTATAAATAAAAGTGAATACAGTTTTCACTTTTTAAGTGTTTCTTGAATTTTATTATAAGCCTTCCTATTAGTTATTCTGTTTTTGTTTATTAGTTTTAGCATGAGGAGCGACATATGGAGAGTTTGTGTAGAGCAGTCTGGCACAAACATGCTGAAAATTACGCAGCATTTTTCCCATAATCAGAGGCGCCATGCTTGCAGCACAATACGGCAGGATAGTAGGGTGGGGTCTGCTGGGCGGTCCTTGCAGTGAGGAGAACCGCTTATCCAATCGAAAGCCGCGGAATGATTCGAAACGTCAGACTGACGGGAGATTGGCCAATAGGGCGCAGCAGCCACCGGCGCCGGGTCTTCCCTTGCATATATACCTCTGTCCATCCTCATGTGCGCCATTATCTCTTACATCGACCCCATAACAGTCGAATTGTAAGACTGCTTATCGAGGAGCTTCTGCCAACCTCCACCGCGACTATAACATAACAAAATGGTAAGAACTTTTAAAAAAGCTTTGTTGACAGGCCATACTTGAGGCACACTTAAAAAATAAAAGAAGGTGGGTGTGATTTGTAAGTTGAGCTCTTAT